AGGTGTGCACCACCAATGCCCGGCTCTGCCTTCTTTTCTAATCATTAACCATGTCAGTTTCTCTTTTGATTCTCTGTTACATCTGCTTCTTCTGTCACAGATTAAGTTTCAGCATGTATTCAATACACTATGCCCAGTGTGTTAGCTGTGAAATTCATAAGTATTGTTATCAGCTGATTCTTCAACAACTAGAATTTTAAAGCTACCATGTTATGAAAAAATGAATTCTCATATTTTATTGAATTCATGTTATCAACCATTTTATAATGTATAATTATTTTTAACTGTACCGAAAAGAAAAAAATATAGACGGAATTAAAATCAAATGTATTATTGAAAGACATGCTTACTATTATAAAAATGTGATTTTTTTGTAGTAATGAGAAACAGTAATTATATTCTACCTTGTTCTACATGTAGAGAATTTTATACCCGTTCACTATTTATGATTAAATTACTTCACTAAATTGCTGTATCTTGCAAAATTTAAATTTATTTCTTCAAATTTCTTTCTTCCTCAATGAAACGCATTAGTAAAATTCACAAAAGAAGATGAGTAACTGAAAATGCCCACTTCAATGGGGAGATTACAGAAGCCCAAGAAGACAGTTTCATTTTTTTGGGATGTTGCACAGAATACATAGCACAGGATTTGGGAATTGTAGGCCTCTGTTACCATCTGCCTGATAACTTGAACTATCTTGGCTTTATCTCTGATACTCACCCTCGACATAGATAGTTGATCTTAACAAAGTTAAGATTCCTGTTCGAACAGCCTCATTGTTACTTCTTATGTGTTCATCCAAAAATTCCAGCAGGTCTGCAGGATTGGCGTGAGCTGCAGGTTTAGAAATACCAAGCTTGTGAGAATTCCTTCAAAGAATTCATATTAACATATGTTAATTATACGTTATTCTATTTTAATATGTGTATGTAACATATATGAGAACTCATTTTCTATTTTGGTAAGGTACTTGTGAATGGGAAGACAGGGATTTCTTCATGAAGACTGTCAAGGCCACCCTGTGGTTGGTTTTGTGACTTCCAGGTTTCTGGAGTAATCTCTCTTAGTTAGGCAGTTTGCTTTCTAGAAACTTGCAGGAATTGGGTGAATCTGCTCAGTACTTTGGTCTCCCGTGGAGTTAGGGATATTGGCAGACTAGAGAAAGCTAGTCGAATGGGTCCTAATTCAAAGGAACTAGTGTCCCTATAAGAAAAGGAGAAGAGGCACATGAATGGGCATGCCACAAACATGGAAGGAGAAGCCAGAGACTGGAGTGATGCCTCATATCCTAGGAACTAGAGGGCTACAGGACAGAGCAACACAATGACAAGCTAGAGGGAGAGGTATTTGTTTTGGAAGTTATCAGAATAAAGTGAATTAGGCTGGGAAGAAGACTGTACATAATCAGAGGAGGTAGGGGAAAATGGAAAGGGCTGGAGTGACTGATTGCTTAGCAGTTCACAGCACTAAATGCTCATCTAGAGGACTGTGGCTTGATTCTCAGCATCCACATGATGCCTCTAAAGCATCTTTAACCCCAGTTTCAGGTGATTTGATGCTGTCTTCTGGTCTCCAAGGGCACTTCACACACAGTGCACAGACATACACCCAAGCAAAACACCCATAAACATAAAAAAGTTAAAAATACTTGAAAACCAAAAAGATAAGCAGTGAAGTGGGAGAGATGACCCAGGGGAGGAGCTTTCAGAGGAACCAGATGGCTGTTTTCATAGACACCAATCCAGGGACTTTGGCATTTCCTTTGTAATCTGTGCCAGGCATTTGCCAGGTGGTAGAAAGGAGACTTAAATAAGATGGTGCAAAATCCGATGAATAAGAAGAAAAGGAGGAGAAAGAGGAAAGAGATTCTTTTTTAACTAAAGTGCTTGGAATCAAAGGAATGGCCAAGGATGAATCAAACAAACCATGACTTTGGACTCAACGATATCACAGCATCTAATATACTCAGACAAACAGCAGTTTCCTATCTTTAGGGTGAGAAATTCATGCTAGTTTCCTAGAAAATCTTCTGGTTGGTAGCAGATAATTCTCTCTACCTGGAGCCCCCTTGTCCTGGGGCAGCCTGGCATGACTCGTCACCCTACCCATGCCACTCATCCTCCGTCCTTGTGAGTAGGAGGGTAGGCAGAGGCTGCTGTGAGCCTTATGGACATTCTGCATGTGTGGAAGCAATTCCAGTGACAGCACACTCCAGCACCTTTGTCATTTTGAGATACTTTTATTAACTCTCCGGATGCTGGGTCATACCTAGAATGAGGAAACAGCTTGAAGCTTCAATTTTGTTTTCCTTTATTGGAGGCTCAGGAAGTCTGCAGACCTGAGTAGAGAGGAATAACAATTGGGGAGTAGGCAGGCGTCAAAAGTAGAGAAGTAGTTTACAGTCAACAAGCAGACTTGACAGCGTGTACTTCCTACCTGGTGGAGCAAACTGGTGAGAGTGGATCTTCTCAGGTTCTTGGGAAGGACAATGTCATAGAGGACCGCTGCAGTCAATATCTGTTTGAGACTCTAAAATGGAAGCACTTGTGGGTTAGGTGGATGATGCCAGTGAAGCAGCCACACAGGAAGTAAAGGCCAATGATTATATTTTGTGAGAACACACCTGACCTTGCTGCAGTTACAACTTTTATTAATGAGTCTAACCTCATCTGCTTGGAGTAACAGTCCTTTGTTCCCCTTTGGAGTTTCCACCAACAGTTGTGACAAGCTCTGTATGTCTGCTGTGTCCTTAGAAATATTTAAGTGGAGCTACTGAACTGGTGTTTGGGTTTCCCAAGCTCTTTGAGACTTAGAAAGGCTGCATACAGAGTCTCTCTTCTCACCTGTGTGATGTAGAAATCACTCTCCTTGTCTTTGTACTGGGTCAGGAGCCAGGGTACTTGGCTCAGGGCGTATTCGTGAAAGTCTTCACGATGCAGCAGCAGGCTCACGGTGGGGCCATGGACCTTGACTATGGTCAAAGTCTGTAGGGGCAATAAACGAAGGTCATTGTTTACACTGTGCTATGCTTTGTGTATAGTTTTCAGTGCCCTGAGTGCTTTGGGGACTCTGTAAACACAGAAATCTCCTTTAGAAAAAAAAAAAAACCTTTAGAAATGAAGTAGTTCTATTTTTGGAAAATGCACAGGTAATGAGTGCTGCTTGATGACTCTATGCTGTACCAGCAGTTTCCTGCAGATTAAAACCTTCCATTTTGGAGGGAAACTTGCTAAGACACAGGATGTGACGTAAAGCAACAGGAAGTTTTAAGGGGAGATGAAACATTCCTTCCAGCAGGGAAGTTTGTTTCTAGCAACAGAACACTTCACTGTTTGAGATTACAACCTTTCATTTTTCAGGGAAGTGCATCAAGATACAAGTTGTTTATAGGGAGGTGAAATAACAGGATATTCTAAGAGGAGGTGAAACATTCCATCCTTCAGGAAACTCATTAAGTCAGGAAACTAAGAACTCAGTGTCTTCAGGAAGTTCCTGAAACTGGGAAGATTCTCTAGATCCCTCCCTCCCCAGGTATACATAAGCAGTAAGGCTGGCTGAGAGACATTCTCAAGCAAACTCAATTGCCTGAAAGAAGCAGAAACCAGATGAGCTGCCTGGAAGAGACTGAGGTCAACTGAGCTACCTGGAAAAGACATCCTTCAACCTAGTAGAGCCACCTGCTGGCTATGTAGCAGACTCTAAGTTTCTAGCTTTCATGAGCTGTCACCCATGCTGGGATGGGCTTTGGTGATGCAGCTGTCTTGCAAAAATTATTTCTGCTCCTGAAGCTAACCGCAATATTCTGCAAGTAACACCAACAAAACCCATGGGTTCACCAAGTTGCACTTTGGTGATACTTTGATCTTCTGCCAGTTCTGTTTCTTCGATGAGTAGATGCTTTTGCATATATCCCCAGGAGGAGTGTCACACAACATTCCATGTGACTTTGACATTTTCCCTTCACATCATTTTCCTTACAATATTTTATTTATTTTCTACCTCTCTTTAAAGTTTTTAGACATTCTGTTCTAAAGTTCCTACCTCCACTTGTTACCTCCCACCCATCCCAGAAGTCCACTCTAGTGAACAACTTCCAGAGCATAAGATATGACAAATATTAATCATAAAAATCCAGGTACTACCACTATCTTTTTCCTAAAAATTAATTTTTAAATAAAAATTAACAGTTGGTCGAATACTTTGATAGCCTGATTTCTGTAGAGAGTATATGTGGTAATTTGAAAAGTTTTATTTTACAACAAGCCATATAAAAACTTAGTGGCTAGACCCCACGAATGGGAAGTGGCATGAACTCCTGAGCTAATTGGAAGCATGAGGGGAGGGGGGGGGGAGAGATTGGGGGGGGGGGGAAAAAGGGGGGAGAGAGAGCGGGAGGAGAGATGCCATATTAGAGGGAGCCACTATAGGTCTGAGAAGAGATCTGGAACCAGGGAGATCTCCAGAGACCTACAAGGATGACACGATCTGACAATCCAGGCAATGGTGGAGAGGATAACCTAAAAGCCCTTCCCCTAAAACGGTATTGATGACTTCTCTTTATGCCATCCTAGAGCCCTCATCCAGTGGCTGATGGAAGCAGAGACAGACATCCACAGAAATACACTGAGCTGAAATCTGGAATTTAGTTGAAGAGAGGGAGGAATGAAGATCAAAGGGGTCTGGAACAGGTTGGAGAAACCCACAGGAACAGTTGGCCTGAAAAAGGGAGAGCACATAGCCCCCAGATGCTATCTGGGAGGCCAGTACAAGACTGATCCAGCCCTCTGAACATGGATGTCAATAAGGAATTCTCTGCACTCCAGGGAGCCTCTGGAAGTGGATTAGCATTTTTCCCTGGTGTAAGAAGGGACTTGAGAGGGGGGAGGAGGGATGAGGGTGAGGGGAGGGAGAGGGAGAAGGGACTTACATGTGAAACAAGCTTGTTCCCTAACTTGAACTAAACAAAACAAAACAAAAAAAACTTAGTGGCTCATAACATTCATTTCACTTGAGGCTGTGCCTTTGGGAGGTGGTTCTTCTAATGCATGTTTTGGTGAACTACATCATTTCCAAGACTTTTCTTGCTTGAGTTCTGTAGTTGTGGATTGTAGAGCTTTAGTAACTGTTTTAAAGCTTCTTTCTTAGCTTCTGCAATTTCATTCTCCTTCTTCCTCTTCCTTCTGAATTCTTTCTCCATCTTCTGTCTTGAGTTATTCCTTTGTGTTTTTCTGGAACTTAATTTTTGCCGCCTTCAGCTCCTTATGCTGTTCTTGGACAACACTATCTAATATCATTCACTTGTTACTTAAATAGTGATACATCCAAATCTATGTGGCTAGTTTTTGGTTTTCTTCTTAATCATGAGCCTGAATGTATCCAAACTTACTAACACACCATAGGCATTCAAGTCAGTATGTCTGCATTAAACCCATGAAAGCTACTCTCTCAAACTTGCTATTCTTCCTCATTCCCTTATCTAATTTAATGACACCAAGATCATTTACATCAGAAATCTGGGACTCACTCCAAGGACCTCTATTTCCTGCACTGTAGGCATACAGTTCATATCAAATCCTGTTGATTCTGTTCATCAGCCTCTTCCTCCTCTGATCAGAATGACCAACACTGTGATAATTGATCTTACCATTTATGACCTAGAATAGTTTTATAGCCTTCTGATCATTTTGCCTCCATTTATCCCTATATCAGGCAATGAAGTTCGAATTATCCTCCATGAACTCTTTTATTTGCACATTCAGCCTCCACCTGGTGGTACTGTTGTAGAAGGTTGTATAATGAAGCCATGAGATGAAGCCACATTGGAGAAAATTGGTCAAGAAGGGTGGGTTTTCGAACAAACTTATAGTGGGAGACTTCAACTCCCCACTCTCACCACTGGACAGGAACACCAGACAGAAACTTAACAAAGAAACAAAGGAACTAATAGAAGTTATGGCCCAATTGGACTTAACATATCTATAGAACATTCCATCCAAATACAAAACAATTTACCTTCTTCTCAGTGCCACATGGAACCTTCTCTAAAATCGACCACATACTTGCCAACATAGCCAACCTCAACAGGTAAAAAAAAGTTGAAATAACCCCCTGTATCTTATTAGACCACTATGCTTTAAAGTTAGAATTCAACAATAACACAAATTGCAGAAAACGTACAAACTCATGGGAATTAAGTAACACTCAATTGCGCAATTTCTGGATCCAGGAAGAAATAAAAAAAGAAATTAAAGATTTCCTAGAATTCAATGAGAATACAGACACAACATATCCAAACCTATGGGACACTTTAAAGCAGTGCTAAGAGGAAAGTTCATAGCTCTAAGTGCCCACATGAAGAAACAGGAGAATAATCACATTAGAGAATTAACATCACAACTGAAAGCTTTAGAAAACAAAGAAGCCAATATACCCTGGAGGAGCAAACACCAGGAAATAATCAAATTGAGGGCTGGAATCAATAAAATGGAAACTAGGAGAACAATACAAAGAATCAATATAACGAAGAGTTCGTTCTTCGAGAAAATCAACAAGATAGACAAACCTTTATCCAGACTTGTCAAACAGCAGAGTGAACATGCAAATTAATAAAATCAGGAATGAAAAGGGGGACATAACAACAGATACAGAGGAAATCCAGAGAATCATCAGGTCATACTTCGAAAACATATATTCCTCAAAATTCGAAAATCTAAAGGAAATGGACAATTTTCTGGACAGATTTTACTTACCAAAATTAAATCGAGAACAGATAAGCAACTTAATTAGACCTATAACCCCTAATGAAATTGAAGCAGTCATCAGAAGTGTCCCAACCAAAAAAAGGACAGGGCTAGATGGCTTCAGTGTAGAATTCTACCAGAAATTCAAGGTATAGCTAATACCAATTCTCCTCAAAGTATTCCACACAATAGAAGCAGAAGGGTCATTGCCCAACTAAGCCACACAAAGACACACCTAAGAAAGAGAACCAATATTCCTCATGAATATTGATGCAAAAATTCTCAATAAAATACTGGCAAATCAAATCCAAGAACACATCAGAGAAATCATCCACCATGATCAAGTAGGCTTCATTCCACGATGCAAGGATAGTTCAACATACAAAAGTCCATCAATGTAATCCACCATATAAACAGACTGAGGAAAAAAACCCACATGATCATCTCACTAGATGCTGAAAAAACATTTGACAAAATCCAACATCCCTTCATGATAAAGGTCTTGGAGAAATCAGGGATAACAGCAACATACCTCAACATAATAAAAGCAATATAAAGCAAGCCAACAGCCAACTTCAAACTAAATGGAGAGAAACTCAATGCAATTCATCTAAAATCAGGGACAAGACAAGGCTGTCCTCTCTTTCCATACCTCTTCAATATTGTCCTTGAAGTTCTAGCTAGAGCAATAAGACAACAAAAGGAGATCAAGGGAATACAAATTGGAAAGGAAGAAGTCAAACTCTCACTATTTGCAGATGATATGGAAGTCTACATAAGTGAAGAAATCAGGGATAACAGCAACATACCTCAACATAATAAAAGCAATATAAAGCAAGCCAACAGCCAACTTCAAACTAAATGGAGAGAAACTCAATGCAATTCATCTAAAATCAGGGACAAGACAAGGCTGTCCTCTCTTTCCATACCTCTTCAATATTGTCCTTGAAGTTCTAGCTAGAGCAATAAGACAACAAAAGGAGATCAAGGGAATACAAATTGGAAAGGAAGAAGTCAAACTCTCACTATTTGCAGAT